AAATAAATCATCAAAGGCGTTGCTATTTTGTACTGAGATCATATTTCAAATTGGCCCAGAATTGCATATAGCTAAGCCCTGTATAACAGATAAGATCTGGAAATTTATCTTTCATAAAGCCCAAAACGAACACAGGGTATTTGTCGCGAATTCCAAACCAGAAAATGTGCAATATACTTCAAAATGTATGGTCCTTTCAGTTGAGGAAGCTAGTTTACTAGCTCTAGAGACATTTTCACGATTTATCAAAATGGGTTATCATGAAGGTTACAAATTTTTGACCCCCCTTGCTTGTGCGTTTTTCAGTAAGGATGATACAAGCTCATTGGCTGAAGAACTTGGCATAACGGAAGTGGAGCTACTAGTGAATTTAAGTCAAAGTACACAAAGTGGTGGGCAGTATCTTAGAAAATCTGACATCGACATAGCTGTATGTTCTTCTATTGCAGCCACTCGTAACTTAACGGACGAAAATCTAAGGAAGGGGATAGTGATTACGGTGCTCAAAGCGTATATAAATAAAGGATTTGCTCCTGATAAAAACAGAATTGCTATTATTTCAAAGTACGTGCCTGGAGGGGTGCCATCAGAGTTTGCATATGAAGAACTCATTAAAGTCCTTGATTCTGAGCAAAAGAAATATAGTGCTATTAAGATAGCCAGGGCCAGGAAGCAGTCTGAAATGTATGTAAGAGTTCTGGTCCCAGGATCATCAAAAGAATTTTAAACCACCTCCACCTGTGTCTCTTTCAAAGAAGTGCTGTCTATTATACTAAAGTCTGTAAATACACTAGTGCTAGTGTACAGACTTCATAACTTACCGGCAGATACGCAATATTTATTTTTAACTGCTCCTTGTTAATAAGTTGTTATTTAGATATCTGGTCGTTGAATTTTATAAAACAAATCAGGAGTGGATTTTTGGCACCATAATACCTTTGTAAAAAGACCATTTATTATCTACTTTGTAGATAACAAATTTCTGCTTCTTTATTTGCGAATATGTAATTAAATATAATATTTGCGACTGGAGCAATTTTAGATTCCGAGGGAGCAAATGGGAAACAATTTTTTAAGACAAATTGTTAAGAAATATTAATATTCCACGCCAACTTTACTTCGGCAGTATCCTGTATTATTTCATCGGTGCAAGCAGTTAGTTTCTCCATTTACCGTCAGATAGTACTGAAGGTTCGATTTTATAGAAAGCGCATTGATATAAAATTAAAAAATGTATTTTACGATTTTAAATAACAACTAATTTAATTGATTATTTTACCCTAGCATAATGTTCTCTCTGATTTATTTTTGACATTATGTAGTCAACTTATTGTCAGTTGTACATACAAAAGTGATCATTTTTTTTCTCCAATACACAAATATATCTAATCTTTAAAAATAGATAATTTAGAAGCAAATTGTTAATATAACAATCTAATATCATGAATTTTTTTCAAATATTTAATATTATGTTAATATGAATGAATCTTAAAATAAAAAGAAATACAAATCTATGGTTTTTAAAATTAAAATAAGATGTATTCGCATCAATTAAACGCGAAGATTGTTTAATTATTCTCTAGTTGAAAGTATAAACGAATATTTCTTTTAATTTAATGGGAGTCTTGGGGGCATGGCTCGGTGTTGTAGACTGCAATTTCGTGTGGAGCTTTCTGCGTCAGACTGGTCCTCCCGGAAATCTGCACTTACCAGTCGACCACATTTGCGGTATTACGGCTTACTGCGAACGGAGAACCGTTAATACCATTTGGAAATCATTGCCGATCGGAGAGCTAGAAACGGTTGTAATGCTCTTAGGAGAACGACACAAAGTGAAAGGATCCTTCTCGTTCGAGGGGCTATTTGAAAAGGGTTCGCGTATGTGCGCAGCCTCGTTTTTCTCTCCTTCTATCCGAAATATTTCTGATAGCATATATTGAATCTGTTTCGGGTATCAGAGTATAGAAATATGAGTTATTGACGCATCGTTTCGTACTTATATGTGCTTTTATCAAAACACCTTTTTGTTTTCTTTTTTGACCTTGATAACGGGAATGAAATATTTCTTTTGAAAAATAATATGGAAAATTTATATGATTATTTTCGTCAAACTTTTTGTTAGAAATTTGTGCAATTTTACTTAAATATATCAAAAATGTAATTACAATCATGTCATTAAATTGTAACAGACTTCAAGATATTCTTAAAATCGTTTTCAATTGAAATGATAATCCACATCTCTTAATTAAAATTTCATTAAAAAGTTACATTTTTTTTCAGATGCAGATGCAAAAGCAGGAGAAAAAAAAAGTAGTCAAGATAATAAGAATAAAAGTGAAGCTTTAAGCTGCCGTAGTAAGACGTAGAGCACTTCCATGGCGTCTTTTCCACTTAAATCGAAACACGCAATTAAACTCGAGTGTTTATTAACATCATTGTGTTGTACAAGATTGGTTAGGTGTCGCAGTTGAAGTATTATTCAGTCCGTTCGGTAAAAAGATGACTAGCGAAGCTGTAAGGAGCCTGTCGAGGAGGTAAAAGCGTTTCCATTTAATTACAATCGATCGAAACTGGGAATCGTCTTCAGGGGTGGTATTGGCGTAGTCGAGGTAGCGGTTTTATAGACGGTCAGTCGGGGTAGTTGGTAGAGCAGCGTTAAAACCACCACTCAAATTTGCAGAACTTTTTATTTCCATCCTCTTACCAGTTACTGCTCTTCGAAAAGGCTTTTTTTTACCTTTCTCTATTCTTTTGTTTCTTTCTTCTCAACATCATTTGGTTAAAAGATTTTTTCCCTTCTTCTTATACTTCGCTACAGAACAACACCAATGTTTGATCTACTTGATGCACCGGCGTCTTTAACCGGCGCCGCTTCATCGTTTCCGCTTCCCTAATACTTCTTCATCTACTTCTATCGCATCAGCTTGAAATCCTTTTGTGTCTGTTCTTCTCTTCCTTTGCCGGACGCCGTCAGTCGAGATCCACCTTCGAAATTTTTATCCCCGGACCAGCTCGAATCCTTTTAACACGATTTGATCGCGATCGTGTTGTTTCGAAATGGAATTTTAATATTGTATATCTAATAAATCAATATTATTTTGCCATCTTGCAGATATAGCTGAGGATAATTAATTTTTGGAAAATTTTATAGATAGAAAATATAATAAATTTTTAATATTAAGTGGACACTCATTGAGTTATCAATGAAAATTAATTTGAATAATTTACCAAAAGGGTTGATCATCAAAATTCTCGATACCGATTGTCATTTGATTTTATTAGCCTCATCCCCTTATATTTCGTGTTTCGTTCGCGATCGCCATTTGTCACTTCGCCCGGTAAAAGTTCATTGCTTTTCGGGCCATTGGAGGTGCTCCATAAAAAAATGTAAAAAAAAGAAAAGTAAAAAGAAAAAAGGAGGGTTGGAAAGCGAAGAGAAACTCGAGAGCGAAACGATGGGGGCGGAGGGTTGCAGGAGAGAAACACTTCGAAGCAGAGCGAAAGTTTCGAGTTGGCGTTATTGATGTCTTCGATGGATGTGTGCAGAGATGGGCGGAGGTGGAGAAGGGTAATCCTAAGAGCAGCCTCAAAGGTCAAATGAGAAATACTTTCCGATCGGGCAGCGAGGCTTAAAGGACTTCATATAACACCTCTGAGCCGTGAGATCTTAGACTTCGCGTTCGTGATTTCGACTCGCTTTTATTATGTAACTACCCGATTCAGCTTCGGCTTCAGCTTCGTGTTGGTTTCTCGATTTTTCCACCCCTACGATCCGTTCTCTTCGTTTGCTACCCTCGCAGCCGGTAAACTTTCGTAATTACCGGTCGCTGTCTTTAAAATGACGACCTGAAATTAATTTCTTCTTGTATCTGTCTCATCTCTCCTTTTTTTCTTGCTTTGGATTTTTTGTCTTCTCGTCGCGGAGGGTGTCCTTGCAATTTGTGACAGTAAATGAACAGTGATTCATCACTGACAAACGTACGTCGATAAATATGGATGGTACAGAGCGGCAAACAAAGATTGGAAATTTTTCGAATCGAAAAATTCATTTCTTTTGAAAATTTAAATTTAAGCTTTCCACTTGCATATTGATATTATGTGGAATTTTAATTATTTATGATGTCAAAGTTTATACAACCTATAAAAATTTTTGTGTGAGTAGTTAGCATTGGATTAAAGGGTAGTCAGAGGTGGGTTACAGCCCCAGGTTCTACTATGTCAAAAAATATTGATTCTTTCTACTGCTGCCCCTTCTTCTTCACGATTAAATGTTATTTATTAATTTTATTTAGAATAAATTTCAATTTCTGAACCAATTTTACCAACTAAGGGAGCTCTTGAATGTTTGATAACCCCCGAGGTCTTAGAAATTTTAATCCGGTCCTATAAGTAATCTTCAAAAATAAAGAGGTGTTAAATTTTCCAGGAAAAAACTCTTTAGCCCTTATACTGAAATTAAATTACTCTAATAACGTTCATGCATAAATTGTTTACGTAATCAAAAAATTGGCCAATCCTGCTTGCTCATAACCTGTAAGTCCTATTAAACCATTAATAACCTAGCTAAAAAAAAAGGCAAAGAAAATAAAAGAAAGTAATTGAAAATGTAAGGGTAACGAGGTGTAACGTCGTTTTTAAGAACGTTTTCTGTTGTCTCGAACAGAGAGAGGCCACGAAAATCTCGCGGACGTTAATAATAAAGTAGACGATAAATAACCGCGTTTAAGCGGCTATGTAATTTCAGTTTGTACCCCTTACAGCACCATTAAGGCCATTATTGCGAATCTCTTAATTTGCGAAAAACACTGTTTCCTCAAGGGGTCGTGCGAGAACGCCGCTTTCAGAGGCGTTAAGTGGCAACGAGGGCTCGAGATTGTGTTCCTGCACCTGTTGGGGTATTATTCATTTCGACTGGAAGCTCGTTGACACCCTTTTTCCTGCTCCTCCTTCTCTTTCTACCTTGCACCCCACATTCGCCCTGTTCGCTTCACGCCTGTAAATGGGTTATTTTAACCATCCTGCCATTGGACTTAATCATTTCGAATGTACTTTCGTGATATCAAGCTTTTTATTTTGGGAATGAATTAGTATACATATGTATAGGGTTTAATATACGTATGGAAAATCGGCGACGCATGGGACTTAAACTGGCTTGTGGCTCCTGGGACTCTCAATTTTTACTTCGCCAAATTGATGAAACGTGGATTTACTTAGATTTCTGATTTTAGAACTCGGCATTTCCAATGTTTGTTTTGTTAAATTGGCTAAAGGTGGACTTAAGCTTTCGAGTCTGAAATTTAGAAATTTTTAAAGACTAGAAATTTGGAAATATAAAAATTTAGGGATTCTTAAATTTAAAAAATTTTGAAATTTAAAGATAAAGAAATTTTGAAATTTAGTAATATAGAAATTTGTAAATTTAAAAATTTAAGAATATTACTGTTCGTCAATTCGTAAAGCAGAATCTTGAATAGTTATATTTTTATTAAAATTTCCTTATCAAGTTCTCATATGAAATGTTTTTTTTTACATCTTTAATAATTAGACAAATAATAGAGCGTACTTATATACATAAAATATATTTATAATAATCTGTAGATGTATAGAATAATCTGTACATACGTCGGTATAATAATCCAAACTGGAGCCGCGAATGAACGATGACAAGATAACGGTATCTACCAATACCTGTGGATTACATATAATTCAACAGTTCAATTTTCAACGAAAACCGTAACGAGCATTTTCATTTACCGTCAGATGATCTGAAACCCCCTCAATACAATTCCTACATTTTCCAAATGCAATTTTACAGCCCAATTTTAACCGATATTTTATTTAAAGGCCTCGACATTATTCAAACAATATCGATATACCAATGAAATCATATTAATGAACGAAATATCGTACAATAAATTTTCCAAATCGAAAATTTAAAAAAAGTTTCAATAAAATATTTCTAATGAATTAAACAAATTGCATTTATCGTAATTATTGAAATAAATACATTTCAAAAGAATTAAAACTGAATAAGAATAATGAGGAATATTTTTTATATCAGTCAAATGAATTATCTATATTGTTCGAATAAAAAATTATCCATTATTTTTGAATAACCTTGTTTCATTTGTAATTTTGATACAAAGATTATTCACTTAAATTATTCACTTGACCGTCTTGATCGATAAACTTGGTTCAAAAATTGCAATTTATTCTAAATAAAATTAAATAACAATTGTGTAGTAATCGTGAAGAAAATGGACAACAGTAAAAAAATTTCATTCAATTTTTTTAACACAGTAAATGGGGGTAACACGGTCCAGGACTGTAAGCTTCCTTAAACCTCCTCTTGATCCTGCGTTGGATATTCGTATGTTACTCACACCCAAATTCTCATACACTAATTAAATATTACCTTGTAGAATTGTTTGGAAGCTTACTGCACGAAACTTAAATAATGATCCTTTAATTGTAACGTGTTCAAAAGGGAAATCATCATCATTTTACAGTATAGTATTTTTTTAAATTCGAATTTTGCATTGTTAAAGAGAAGAAAACTTTGGGACACATTTTAACATTGCAGCACGATATATATATAACAGTATGCCTATACCAATTTAGTAAAATATTAAATGTGTTAAAAAGAATTTATTGGCCATATACAGGGTATTCGACAACATGTGGGACAAATTTTAGGAGATGATTCTAGCAGTTAAAATAAGACAAAAATCAAGAGTGATGAAATAACGTTCGCGGCTCTGCTTTTTAATTAATGTTAAAAGATTCGAGTGAATAGTACCTAAAACCGGCAATCTGCACAGTACCGACGATTGAACGTTGTGTCAACTGAGTTCCATTGAACTTGTTGCAGTGAAGTTGGCCACGCATTCACTCATCGACGCGGCGTGAATGCGTAGTGAATTTGTAGCCAACTTCACTGCGACAAGTTCAATGCAACTCAGGGTACATACCGTACTGGTACCCAATAAGGCCTAGAACTTAATAAGGCCTATCGGTTATATCTGGATAACTAAAAAGCACTTTTGACAGGTGCTGCCACCATATCGCGCGGAAGAGGAAGAAAAAATAAAAGTGGTGGAAATAAAGACAAGAGTTCATGATATTGTGAGTAATGAGGATGTGTTTGTGAACATTATGTTTATGAAGAATGTATGGGTTTGACCAAAAAAGACAGAGAAATTATCTGGTGTATATGTTGCGTTTTTGATTGAATAAACTAGGATTGAATTTTCTTTGAAACTTTGATATTGCTTATTTAAAAACAAAATCTTTTATTTTTAAGAGTAGGCATTATTAGGTAACACTTTTCACCAAACCCATAATTGTGTCGAACTAATCAAACTTTTCTTGACAATTTTTCAATGAAACACGAGGAATGCAAATTTAATCGATTAAAAAAAAAAATTAGAAAAATATTCAAAGCTTAGGTAGGTCTTAATGGGTACCGATACCTTACACCTTTAGCGGTCAAAGAGTTAAAATTTAATAATTGGGAAAATCACAATACAATATAAATATTTTGGAAACTATAATAATTTATATTTTGAAGAAAAAATTGTTAGTAGTATTAGTATTACAATAATAAATTAATAATTAATATAAGGCAATATTTGTTTTCCAAGAATTACAAGTTAATATATTTTTCTATTCCATACGTTCTAATGGAACTTTCCATATTTCTTAACAGTTATTCAAGAGAAAATTCTTCGCTAATGGTGGTCTGAAAATATGCATAAGTCACGAGAAACGATTAGCGGTTGAACTAATTGAGAAAAGCATTTTCCTCTCCGTGGAAAACAGCCACATATACGGTGTGTTGTTGCTCTCACTAGTGGTCGTCACAACGAGAAGATTAATCGCTTTAATTTCCGAGACATGATTAATCATAATTAACAGGGTCGGCTCGCAAACAGGCCGAGGGAAAAAGGACAGAGAAGCGTTTGTAGCCTGGAATCATTTAGCGAGAGGGTGGAAAAAAACCAAGGGGGCGAAGGGGTGGCGTGAAAAATTCATGCGAGACGAGAAGCATTAACAAGTTGTTAAAAGGGTAGAAAAACAAACGGCCGGAAGATAAATGTAATAACTTGCTGCCCTCGGCTGTTATCGATATTTTCTTCGGCTTCGCGAGATTAATTACGACTATGTAAACCACCTTGCTTTTATTTAAATACCGTTAAACTTGCAGTGCTATCTCTCGATGGTATTCCAACGTCTGAAGATTTTCCAAAATTTATTTTAAATAACGATTCTAATTCGGAAATATAATCTTTGTTCCGTGTTATTGACTATCGAGTAATTAATTCTTAAATTTAAACTTTTAACCCTATATTAATTGTTAATTTACTAACCCAATTATCGGTCATTGTTAAAAATGTATCGTCATTTTTAAAAACATCTGATTCTTCTTTATATGAAATGCTGCTATATTAGTTATAGTACAGTAGAACCTGGATAAATGCAACGAAAGAATGCTTGGATAAATGCAACATCGCTATCCCCTCCACTTGGAGGGATCCCCCTAGGCGAACCGAGCCGCTCGACGAGGAAACCGTGTAATATGATCCGATCGTAATATCCGTGTAACTAATACTAATTCAACGATAAAACTTTTTTATTTTTAACTTTTTCTTAATGAAACTTTTACTAATGCATTTGTGAGATTTTTCTTATTAAAATGACACCAAACGCGATATAGTTTGAATTATATTTATAAACAATAGTAATAGAATAAACAACATAGAATTGACACCACGACTGAATATAAATGATGTCGGCTGAATACAAAAGATGTGTACGGACGCAGAATCGACACCTTGCCTGGATAAATGAAACCTTTGAAACCAGAGCCGACACCGCGACTGGTTTTGATTTCGATCTCTGTTGCTTTTCGCCAACCTTTAACATCAATTTTAGCAAGTAATTATAATTGAAACTATATCGTGTTTGGTACCATTTGAATCAGAAAAATTTCACCAATGCGTTAATAAAAGTTTTAATAAAAAAAAGTCAAAAATAAAAAAGTTTTATAGTTGAATTAGTATTAGTCACACCGATACGTTTCGGCTCTTTCCTTTCATCATCGGACCTCTCTCTTTCCGCCACTGTCTGTCCCTTTCTACGTTCACGCTTGGCTGGTCGTCGCGTGTAACCCGAGATTCGACACCTCGCTTGGATAAATGCAACCACTGGGTCCCAATCTTGGTTGCATTTATCCAGGTTTTACTGTATACATTTTAGTACTAAATGTAATGAATAGACGGGGGAGGGGCTTTGCTCTTTTATCCTGCACCCCCACCCGTTTAAAAGATCTTAACCTAACCTGACTGAACCATTATTTTGGGGCCGAATCTACGGCTGATTTCACCGAGGGAGTACTTTCGCCTTACACATCGACTTAAATACTAAAATATGTAACTAATATAAAAACATTTCGGCTGTGGGTTAGTTTAGGACAGATATTTTTTTGAATGAAACGTTTTTTGCTAATAACTTTTTAATAAACAGTGACCGACTGTTAGGTTATAAGGAAAAGTTACTCCAGATGGCGACTCTTATGATATACAGACATATGTCACTGGAGGGGGGTTCTCTATTCGGTCTATTTACCCTATCTTGTATTATTATCACAATTTTTCATCTGAATATTGGCCACAAAGTATCCTATTAAATAAAAATTAAATTGTCTATGAAATTGTCTTGTCTCCTCCAATGACAAGAAAAGCACGCCGTATACTTCCAATTTTATGTCGAATTTATTGAATTTACGACCATTGTTCGTTTGTATAAGAGAGTGCACATGTTAAAGAATTTGAAGCAGAAGGGTGAGAAATGTATGTTTCTTTGCCTTTTATCGAGAAGGAGGGGCACGAACAAAAGCCATCGATATAGTCTCGTAAAGTGTAAAAAGTAAGAACTATGGCGAATAAATAACCGATGGAGAGTGGCTGGGAGAGGTTTAACGTGGAAGGGTTGCTCGAAGAAGGGTGAAATGAATGCGTGCTACCAGGGTCTGGCCGTCATTGAATAGAAGTGTCAGAAGGTGGAAGAGAAGGATAAAAGGGGGCTAAGAGAAAGAAAGAATAGCGGTTTGGTTCGAGAGCGTGAAAATGCGGGGGTTGCACCTCTTGTAAAGGAGAAATATATAAACTCGAAAGGCCGATAAAGTCAGTACCCGCTGTTACGACAAACTCGCTTCCTTTTGCCTGGATTCACCTTTCCTCTTTGTTTCTCTTGTTCGTAACCGCCCCAGAATTCGAACAGAAAGGGAAATAATGCTCGTGTCATGACCTCTGTCACGCGCAGAACTCCGTTACTGGGTCGTTCTTGGATGCACGATCAACTATTCCCTCTTTCGTTTCTGTTTCTTTTCTCGCGACGAGATTTTACCATTGTGCTAAACACCTGGAGGAAATCGAGCATCGTTAATTATTTTTAACCAACTTTTCCTTCGAACAAATATATTTTTTAATTTTCTTCTGCAGATGTCTTTTTGGTGTTTGGTTGAAAGATTTTGGTTTTGGATTTTGTTGAAAGAAATATTGAAGGTCTGACATGATTTCACGACAGAAAAATATCATAGATAAACACTTATGACACATCAGCTTAGAGTTTGAGGTTTATTGAAAATTACTATATAAACGTTTCATAAATATTTTGGTACAAAATGATTGATCCGTCATTTTTCAAGTTACAGTTTATTGTTATATCAGTTGAATCATTGTTTCTTTCAAATAGGTATCAACAATTTTATATTAAGAATATTAATCAAGTCGTACGTTTTTGTCATGAAATCATGTCAGTTATCATAGATTTAAAAATTAGCCATTGTTTATTACAATTATTCATCAGTCATTTCGCGTTAAGGATACTGATAAATCGTTTACATAGCCATTTTTATTAAACCTTAAGCTTTAAACTAATGAATCAGAAGTAACATTTAGCGATACTTTTCTGTCATGAAAATCAGACTTTCTGTAGATACATTTTACAAACATTGTCGAGCTACCATTTTATAGCAGCGTTCTTACCAGAAGTTGCAATATGTTATGTGTTTCGGAACGCAGAATCCATACGCCGAATTTATTCCTCAAAGAGTCATAAACTTCTGACGAAATATCTTTCTTCCTCAGCGATGGTTGGTTCGTTTCGAAATACTTAAAGGAGAAGCGAGGACAGGAGAGTCGGTAAACACAAAGGAAAAAAGCATAAAATCGCGACCGAGCTGCAAAGTACATAAACTCGAAAGCTCGATAAAGTTAGCAGCTACCCACTGCAAATCGGAACTTCGCCTCCTTCTCGTACGCCGATTTTTAGTCCGTCCTTTATTTCTTCTTTGCTAAGAAAATTGGTTTGTGCTCGTTCGCGACGCGAATCACGCCTAAATCGTTGAGTAGTAAAGTCACTCGATGGCCAGATTTCTCACTGGAATACACCGACACGCGTGTATTTTGTTTTTTTTGGTCGATCAACGTTCCTAAAATCGCGGAGAAGATGTGCTTTTAAAGCGATTTTCTTGTACTTTATGAAGAAATTAATAAAATTATTAATAGAATTTTAAAAATCTTGAGTGAACTAGTTTGTACAGTTTGTACTAGTTTGTTTTCTTCCTCGATTTTATTGAATCTAACAATGAGAAGTAATTATAAATTCTTATTAAATTAGTTATAAATTAACCCTCGAACGGCGGACCATGGAGAGAGCTCCAACCTTACGATTAATTCAATTTCGTATTTCATATTATTATCATTTCCTAAATTTTGTACTGTTACCATAAAATTATTCTTCTAAATATGTGAAACCCTTTCGTTAAAAAATTATACATTTAATTTTGGATTAATACCTTTGAATATTTGTAAGTTTTTTGCCACGATTGACAAATTTAATTATACGTTAAATTTATAATTTTTGCAACTCTGTCATATAGTTTCCTTCGAAAAATTTAAATTTTCTTTCAATTTAAAATTAAATTTATAATTTTTCCAAAGTCAAGTTCGACTATTTCCAAATAGAAAATTGCGAAATAAAATTTTGCGTGTATTCATTTTTAGGAAATGAAAGTTTTTGTATTTCTATGGTGTGTTTGGAAGGAAGTTGAAGGCGTCGCCGAGCTGATCCTTCGTGAAATCGTGGCGAATGAAACGAGGTCGGTCCATTAATTTCGACGAAACAATGTAACAACAACAATAGAGGGTACTACAGCCAGCCCTGAGATTTTGGTTAAAGTATATCTTCAATTATACAAGCGGTGCACGAGGCTGCTTTCTCCACTCATCTCTCTTGTGTTCTAAAGGGATGCTGGCTTCACAGAGAACTTTGATGCAAAGGAAACAATTAATTATCCAATCTGTCGATAAACAGCTTGGGACAAAAAGCGAATCGAAGTGAAATTATTAACTTTATAAACTCGTTGCTCCAGCTTTTCATTCTTTGGATTACAGAATCTATTACTGTTGCATTAAACAGCTTTGGAAACTTGTAACTTTGTCGATTTAATATTTCCTTCACTTGATTAGTTACAATTAACAATAAAGGTACGTAAGATCAGTAATGGTAATCAAGTTTTGGAATGTTTGAATATTATATTATTGGGGTAACTAAGATTTTCTGAGGGGTGAGCTAGGTTCCATGGTTTTGTTAACAATACCAAGTGTTTAATATCTTTCATTTTATAAGATTTTATAAGAGAAACTTAGAATCCAAAAATCCTAAAACCTAGAAACTTAGAAACTCAGAAACCTAGCAACCTACAAACCTAGAAACTTAGAAAATTAAAATTTGAGAATTTAAAAATATTAGAATTTTTTAATCCTAGAATTTTGGAATTTTGGTATTCTGAAAGATTGAAATTTTGGAATTTTTAATAGGATTTTGGTATTTTGGAATTATCAAGTTATGGTATTTTGAAATTTTTGAATTGTGGATTTTTTACAATTTTGATATCCTGAAAGTTTGGAATTATTGAATTTTAGATAGAATCTTAGAATTGTGGAATTTCAGAATTTTAGAATTCTAAAGTTTTAGAACATTAAAATCTTATACTAAAGTCTCTTAGAATCTTAAATCCTAATGTTATCTGTTTTAGTAATAATAACAATTGTTGAATTATTTGATTTAACCATAGTTTTCGAATAATAGAAACACCCTATGTATCGATTGGTCGAACACGTGAAATATATGTAAGTAGTGGATACATGGTGTGGAATTTGATCAGGACCATAACTCTCACTATCAAATATTCATCCGGTATTGACTAATAGATGCGGTGTCTGCCGGTCTGGTAGTGGTCCAACGCGTGCAGAAAATACCCTACAGACATGTATACCTTCAATAGATAGATCACTGTCCCTTAAAAATGGCAAATCGGTCACGACAAATAGTTTCATTTACAAAAAATCATTTTTCACAAATAGAAATGTTTTTCATTTCATAAATTGAAGAAGAAACAATTTTTACAATGATTATGATTAATAAGATAAATATAGACTGCAGTAATTATTACATTTTATTCGTCTCTTTTTGATTTAAAGCGAGTTTAAATTAACACGCAGTTAATTAAACTCATTGAATATATGAAGGTGAAGGGATGAATTAGAGAAACGTGCTTGGAGCATGTTTAGCACGTCTATTGTATGTACCCATTTGCTTGAATTATGCTAGAATTGTAGTTTCAAATGCTATGAAAGTTAGTGGTTGTTAAGATTCTTAGATGATAATAAACTGTAAGCAGGAATAAATTTACTTCATATAAGAAGGTAATAGTTATAATAAATCAATTAGTTAAAACCGGAGTTTCAGGTGATATTAATATATCGACGCTTTAAATTTAATGTAATTAAATAACTAATTATTGAAAAAAGATACAAAAATTGAATACACCAGACAAAAGAATAATTTTTTATTAACAACTGCAGGGAGGACAAATATTAAAAAAATTTTTTTATGAACTTTCTCCTTACTGTAAACGTATAATAAAGCTTCAAATACACTCGCAATCAAATCAGGCTTCCATAGGGGAAATAGTGATATAGGAGAAGCAGAAATTTTTAAAATCTTAATTTTGACGATATTAATATTAAATATAATTTAGATAAAATCTGCTCGACATCAAGCCACCTCAGCTAGTGGTGATTGCGGTGGCTTGGAGAGCAGCCATTCCCCTACACCAGGCTGGAAACTGGTCACTGTTGAGCAGCGGGCACCTCACGACCCTCGCGGAATTGGAGTCGGAGTCAATTCTGACCCAAGGAAGTGACCGCTGCAAGACTGTGTACCTCTTCAGACATAACTACAAAATCATCTTCTTTGACAAAAGGAAGTGGCTGGATGATCTAGACAACATTCTAACTTCGGGGGAGCTTGTCTGGTTTACAGACGGCTCCAAGACCAGGTCCGGAACCGAAGCCAGGATATTGGGGAAGAGCTCAAATGTCAAAATGGCTTATAAGCTGGGCCATCTTGTATCGGTCTTTCAAGCAGAAGTGTTTGCCATTTGGGTCTGTGCCAATTACAACTTGGACAGGGCCCACTCAGGCAAATACATCTATATTAGCAGGGACTGCCTTGCCGCGCTCAGCGTCCTCCACAAAGTGGAAATCGGGTCTAAGCTAGTCAGGAACTGTGCACTGACTTTGAGGCGGCTATCTTTGAACAATAGAGTTAAGCTGGTATGGGTACCAGGTCACGCTGGTATCGCAGGGAATGAGAGAGCTAACGAACTGGCACGACTGGGGGCGACAAGCTCTCAGGTATGCCCCACGTACCCCATTGGTGTCTCAACCTGTGCGTTGAAGGGCCTGGCTAAGGAATGGTTGAACCTGGAATTCATCAGGCTCTGGCGCCACGTAAACGGTATGGGACACACGAGGGCCCTTCTCGAGGGACCGCCGCAGAAGCTGGGTGACACTTTAATTCGCCTGGACAGGGCGCACCTGCGCATGGTCGTGGGACTGGTGACAGGACACTGGTACACGAGACAACCCCTTGCACGCATGGGACTCACTGATGAGTTGCCATGCCCAAGATGTGAGGAGGAGGACGAGACACCTCTCCACGTGCTCCTATGATGCAGGGAACTTAACGTCTTAAGGGAATCAATCCTGAGGACCCTGGAACCTTCATCGCTAAGCATTACGGCTGACCTGGTGACGGCGCTTTTACACTTTGCGACAGAGGCCCAATTGCCAAGACACAGCCAGTAAGGAAGCCTGCCTCACGGCCCGGGTACAATGAGTGCCCGGCTAGCCTCAGACTTTAACAATAACAATAATAATAGCAATGGCAATAGCAATACCAATAGCAATACCAATAGCAATAACAACAATAAATAGATAAAAAAGTAAAATAACTTTTATTTATTAAATATTACAAAATTTTGTACAGGACTGAAAAATACTGTTCGTTGCTGGTAAGTTGCCGATGACCGACAGAGGAGCAAGGGGACTGTGCGTTCGCTCCACCTAATTCCCTCCAGGAATCCGTAACTTGAGAAGTCAGCGGTCACATTGCATAGGCATAAAATTTCCATATTCGCAGAAGATATATTTAACTATATAAACATGATTATATTATAATACTCGTTCTTGACAACAGTTGTAATTATGCAAAATTTATGGAAATTACATTATGGAGAGTGTAAAAACTCTCCTGTTTTCATAATAATGTAAACCCAGAATCTACGTCTACGCCAATGTGCCCGAATCGTCGCTCGCTATCGCTTCATCTCATTCTGTTTCAATATCTGTCTTTAGCGACGTTCGTCACGCGATAGATTTATGGATGTAAGGGCCTCGGCCAATAAACATAATACGTGTGACTGAAGGTAAGTCAACGAATTTGATTGGACGGCAACTAACCAGCAACGAATAGTACTAATAATAAAGTAAACATTAATTCAAATTTTTTGGCATAAATATGGTGTCCGATGATAGATGATTGGATCAGAGATGTTACATAGGTTTTTTCGCGCATGCGCGACTTCTCGTAACGTAACAATGACGGTTACAATATCGTATTGTCCACCAATCACAAGAAGTCCCATAAATATACACATACATGATGTTATAAGATAAAAAAGTGACGATAAGGTAAAAAAAGTTGTTCCTGACCAGTGCAGTCCCACCAAAACTCTGGGGTTGGCGCCGCCATTACGTTATACGTTACTGTAACTGGGGAAAGTCTGATTTGATCGTCAATGTACGATTTTTAATTTATTACAAAGTATATGAATAAAATAACTATAATATTGTCTGAAATTTTTCATATTTTTCAAATTTCTTAAAATAATTTAATATTAAGTGCAAGAATGATATCGATATTTAATTATTCATAAATACAATTGGAAAATGCAACAATCCTTTACAGAAAAAAAATCTTTTGATATTTTTCTAATCACGTCTGATCGATTTTAAACGAATAAACGTGAATGGAGAATGGAGCACACGCAATGCAAACCGAAAGGACAATCTTTACATTTGTCAGATAAATAGGGAATCGAACTGACAGCAACCCTTGTCAAATTTTTTCGCAGGAAATATTACGCCACGCCATTTATCGAAGAGCAGAAAACAAGGAGCAAAGAGAGAAATAAAAAAAAAGAGGGTTGATTCCTTTATTTCTTTATCGTCGCCCAGGGAATTGGACGCGCAGCGGACCAGTTAATACCGAATGTCCGAAAGTAATTATTCAAATTGATTATCCAGGGGCATTTGCACGTACAATTGGGACGTCGATACGATCTTTTCACGAATTCCATTTTTTTTTTTCATTCCTCTTTGCTCCCTTGTAAACCAACTTCTCCGTTTATAATATATTCAAAAGCAATCGATTGGCGATCCATTCGCAAACGTTGTAATTGATTTTTTCAAAATGTATGTGAAATTTTAATTGATTTTGCACTAGGAACAAAAAGAAACTGGAATTAAATGCAGGAGGTTCTGATTTTAATTTTCATGCAAATTTTATCCTCTTTTCTGCCATTTTTGTTATAATTTATCTGCAAATCTGGTATTTCACCGCGTATTCGTTCCATATTTTATATAAAATTCGTTTAACTATTACAGATGTTCTTGGAACAGAAATTTGTAAAATTTGCGTACTTAAAATTATACAATTCTTATATAATATATGCAGAATCATTAATATGTCTATTATTTAACTGAAAAAAAAAGAAAATATTCATGGTCGGAATAAATTAATATAATTTACGTCAATAATTATTCTGCAAATAGTTTCCTTTGAATCGTTTATTTAATTCTCCAATTTCTCATGAAAAAATATTGATCCTGACAGAATTCATTCATAATTTTTTATAGCACGTTCGAAGGATTCCCAAGGGAGTGCGCTGACCATGTTCCTTTTTTTTATCAATCTTGAATTTCCACGATAATCGTTTCGTTATCGGTTCTCTTAACGTTACTGGCTCCAAATGTATTAGGCAGTGATCTACCCTGTTAAAGAATACCCTTTTTTATCAGCTGCTCTATTTTCTTATTTTTATTATCCTCTTTGTTATTGATCATAAACAAACCCAGATCAAATACGCTATATCAAAGTTCACAAAATTGTTGATCAAGCTCTCGTTTAACATCAATTTTTAAAAAATAAACCACAAAATAAGAAAAAATGTCACAGAGTGTACTTTATACAGCAAATTCCACTGATACAATCAAATAGAAGAATATCTCCAAAAGAGGTCTTTTAAAAAATAAATGGAAAATAAAATGCTTTTTTTAAACGTCAAACAAAACTAAAC